GTGAATTTTTCTCTCATCAAATATGAAAAAGATTATCATTTGAAGATATAGCAGAATATCACTTATATAGATCCCAAAGGTATTCATCACAAAACAATTAAAGAACAAAAATATATTCAATATTATACTGATATCATAATTTAAATGGCCAAAACAAACTGAATTCTTCAAAACTCAGAAATTATGAGGGTGAACAATCACTTAAAATTTGGCTATCCATCTCGGTGCTCTTTTGTCTTGAGAAATATGTGGCAGTCAATTACTTGTACTTTACATGCAGTTTTTTTGTAATTTTTTCATAATTTTTCAATTGTAACTATTTTTCTCTTCAAACAAAATTAAAAAGCTTAATATATTTGAATAATACTAAAAACAGATAAATATAAGCAGAGAGGAGGGGAGAGAGAAAAAAACAAAATAAAACGACTCAATGGCACATCAGACCACAAGTTAAAAGCATGTTGCGGGATTAGACAAGATGGCAGATGAAAGATGAAATTCCCAGCAGTTTCTTAGCACCTGTTTTAGTCAACTGTTTCACTGCTGTGAGTAAAGGACCCAATCAGCACAATTATATAGGGAGGAAAAGTTTATTTGTGGGCTCACAATTTCAGAGGTCTCACTCCATGGACAGCTGGCTCCATTCCTTGGGTTCAAGATGAGGCAAGACATCATGGTGGAAGAGGGAACCAGCTCACATGGTGATCAGAAAGCAGAGAAATTTCCCCACTTGCCAGATACAAATATATACCCCAAAGCTGCACCCCAATTCCCACCTCCTCTCCAGCCACACCCTACCACTTCAGTTACCACTCAGTTAATCCCTATGAGGGGATTAATTCACTGATTGGGTTAAGACTCAGAACCCAATCATTTCTTCTCTGAACCTTCTTGCATTGTCTCACATGTGAGCTTTTGGGGACACCTCACATGTAATTCTTTACAGTACCACAAGTAAAAAAGTGGAATGACTAATCCTCAGTGAGGTGAGTAACTAAAGGAACTCACAGAAATTCAATACTGGACAGCAAAAGAAAGCATAGAGACACAGAAAGTTGGAAACTTTGAACATAATAGATGAAATAATATGTTAGAGATGTGGCAGGTTGGCTGGCAGCAGTATGGCAGTCACAACTGCTGAAGAGCAGGCAATGAGAGAGTGGCTTTGGGAACCTGTAGAACAGAGAGAGAGAGAGAGATCTTAGTGTACTTAGAGTCAGTATGGGAAGCTGTTGAGTGAAAGGCAACCAAAATTACTTGTCTCACAGGTGGACAGTCTTGTGGGAACCAGGATCACTAGGAGTCAATTAAAAGCTCAAGCAGAGGCTGAGTTAGCAAACTCATAAAAGAGGTTTCCAGTGTATCCAGCAGTTGCCTATTATAGGCTGTATGGTGTGCTTGGACTAGTGTGACTAAAATAAATGCAAAAAAAAAAAAAAATTGTGCTCAGGACATTCACGGTAAGGATACTAAGGATAGAGATAGAGTTCCTTTATTGCTGGAATTCCATAAGAGCTATTGGAAAGATGCCAATAATGGCCACATAGGAGCATCTGTACTCCAAGGCTAATACTGGGAAATTCTCATCCATAGCAGTGAATGTAAATCCTATGGAGTTTTTGACTCTGCACCTTAAAAGTGGAATTTATGAGAGGTAACTGAGACCCAGATGTCCATCAGAGATTTGTTATCTCCCAAGAATCCAAGAGTGTGGATCAAGGCTCAAATAGCTACTGACAGAGTTCCAGCAGTCACCCAAAACCAAATATCAGCTACTGAAACTCTGCACCACCTCTGCTATAGGAACAAATAATTCTTTAGCACTCCTCCAACTATTCTACCATAAACTGAGACATAGGATGCTGAGAGCTGCTACAACTAACTTTGGCTCCTAACCACCATGACTGACAGCTAATTGAGGAACACAAAAATGTCAGATGTCACGGCCTCCAGTTCTTTACCCAAGGGTTGCAGAGTAAAAAAATAAAAATATGAAGAATGAAAATCCAACTTTTTCTATAATTGTGATCATTACCTCAACTAAGATAAGCCCTTTATTTCTCATTAAAGATTTTTAGCTTTCTTTCTTTCCCCCACGCAATACTCAACCCCATATTTTTACCTTTTTTAATTTATAATTTTTTTCAAACATTATTTCATTATATTTTATAACTGTTTTACTTTCTTGTGTGTGTTCTCATTATGGGAATAGGTTAGGAAATTTATATATATATATATATATATATATATATATATATATATATATATATATATTTATTTATGTCACGAGCTGTCTGTAGGCTGTGTATGGACTTTGTCAGCATTGCAGCCTAGTCAATAGGAACATCTGATGTCTGGGAACTTCCAGTGGACGTTTTCTATGTATAAGACTGCCCAGAAACATTGTGAATTCCTATTTTTCTCTTCCATGTCACACATAGCACCTGGGATGGGTGTGACCTGCCAAGATTCCAATAAACCTGCTGATTGTACATCACAAAGCAAGACTCCACCCTTGAAACCTTCCTGTCTTTGATGTACTCCCTTAAATAAACCACTGGAGCCATTTTCTTTTGTCTAATTCCAGCTCTTGTGTGGACTGGGTATATCAGGGGCTGTGTTTTTGAAAATATATTTCTGACTCTTTGTTTTTTGTTCTTCACTAATTACTCTAGACTCTAATTTCTCAGGTGGTTTACACCCTCCTTGGCAGGAAGAAGAACCCATTAATGAGATGCTGGCCATCATCCCATAAATTCATATATATATATATATATATATATATTTCATTCTTCACTTTGTTTGACTTAGGTGGGGTATAATTATAAGTGAATTTGAGCTGTTTTGTTCTTACATTTGGTTGTTTGTTTGTACCTTGTGTTTTGTCTCTCTTATTGCCCCTACATCACTCTTTCTCCAAATAATAAGCAAATTTTATTTTTTCCTCTTCTTTTCTTTATTAATTTTTTATTTTTATTCCTACTTTATAACCATCATCTGCTACCTATCTCCTGCCTTTCCTTTGTTAACTTTTTTAATATTTCAAAATTTCTTTTGCTCCTACCCTATCTTCTCTTCATTAAGAAACTGCAATCCTGGAGATTGGAGATCTGGGGAAAAGCCTGCCATCACACCGCAGCCTGGAGAACCAGAGAAAGGCCCTATTCATCAAAATAAACCATCAGAGAGCCTACAGAATGGGAGCAGATCTTTACCACAAGCACATCAGACAGAGCACTAATCTCTAGGATGTATAAGACACTCAAAAATCCTAACACCAAAAACCCAAATAACCTAATCAGTAAAGGGGCCAAGGAACTGAACCAACTCTTCTCAGAAGAGGATATACAATCAGTCAACAAACATGAAAAAATGGTCAACATTTCTAGCAATTAGAGAAATGCAAACCAAAACTACTCTAAGATTTCATCTCACTCCAGTCAGAATTGCAGCTATCAAGAATACAAACAATTATAAGAGTTAGCGAGAATGTGGGGGAAAAGGCACACTCATACATTGCTGGTGGGACTGCAAACTGGTGCAGCCCATATGGAAAGCAGTATGGAGATTCCTTGGAAAACTTGGAATGGAACCACCATTTGACCCAGCTATTCCACTCCTCGGTTTATTCCTAAAGGACTTAAAAACAGCATACTACAGGAATGATAGCTAAATTGTAGAACCATCCCTGATGCCCTTCAGTAGAAGAATGGATAGGGAAAGTTTGGTATATGTACACAATGGAGCATTACTCAGCATTAAAAGAGAACAAAATCATGGCATTTGCAGTGCCTATATAGCACTGAGTGCCTATATTAAATAAATAGAGAAATCTCAAATATGCTTTCTCCACTTGAAGTCCTCATAAAAATAAGAACAAACTAATTCCAAAATCAGTAAAGGACAGAAAATAATTAAGATTGAAACCAAAATGAATGAAATTGAGAATAACAAAAGTACATAAAAACAAAGCAAGTTGGTTCTTTGAGAATATAAATAAGATTGATAAGCCCTTAACCCAACTAACCAACAGAAAGAAAGAAAAAACCCAAATCAACAAAATTATAAATGACAAAGGAGATATCACCACAGACACTTCTGAAATCCAGAGGATCATAGACATGATTTTGAAAATTTGTACTCCAATAAATTGAAAAATCTAAAAGACACTGACAAATTTGGGGGCAAATATTATCTGTCCAAATTGAACCAAAAAGATGTACAAAATCTAAACAGACAAATATTCAGGTAATGAAATTAAAACATCAATTAAAAGCATTTCAAGAAAGAAAAGCCTAAAATTTGACGGATTCTCAGCTTAGTTCTACCAAACCTTAAAGAAAAACTAACACAGTTCTTTCTTGTTGTTGTTCTTTTTAAAAAATCATATATGACAGTGGGATGTATTTTGACATAATGTACATACATGGAGTATAACTTCCCATTCTTGTGATTGTACATGATGTGGAGTTACACTGGCCACATATTCATATATGAACATAGAAAAGTTATATCCAATTAATTCTACTGTCTTTCCCACTCCAATCTCCCTCTTCCCTCAGTATCCTATGTTCAATCCAGGGAGCTTCTTCTCTTCCCTCCCTTCCACCTATTGTGAGTCAGCATCAGCATATCAGAGAGAACATTTAGCCTTTGTTTTTTGGGGGATTGGCTTATTTCACATACCATGATAGTCTCCAGTTTTATCCATTTACTGGTGAATGCCATAACTTTATTATTCTTTATGGCTGAACAATATTCCATCATGTATATGTACCACATTTTCTTTCGCAGGACACCTGAGCTATTTCTCTAGCTTGGTTATTGTGAATTAAGCTGCTATGAACATACTGTTAAATAAATTTGGCTTCTGTTTTTCTACTTTTTATCCTAGCATCAGATTTTCATTGGTTTAAAAATAAAACTTTAAATTTGTAAAGTATAAAAAATAGACAAAATAAAATCAAAACCAACAAATAGAGAGGATTTGGCAACACTACCTCTGAATATGATTTGCTTGATGATAGAAATGTAGTCTTCAGGCTCCTGCTCTGTTGAGATTTCCCATGGGCTTCCAGAGATATTTAATAATTTATATAGCTGACTTGAGCTCTTCATTCCACAAAGCAGGGTAACAACACTTTCTGGTGAGTCAAGAACTTCTTCTAGAAACTGACGCTTCTTTGAAGTTAGGTCTTTAAGCAGGTCACTGGATAATATCAAAAGTTTACATTTGTAAGAGTTTAAGCTTAGCAATTCCAAATGCTGAAGAGAGAAACTGTCTAAGCAATATAACAGGATTGCTTCTCTTTTCACAACATGGAAAAATACTTCTCTCAAGTACACAGCCCATTCCTTAGCATCTTCTTCATATATTATCATGATGTCTTTTGCATTTCCTAGAAACAGAGAAAATAACATATTATCTTTTAAAAATGCTAATAGCAGTCTATATTTGATTTATTTTTATAATCTGCCAATATATTCTTTAGGCAATATGATAATGTGCTTGTCCCTGAGTTTAATCCCTGGTACTCCCCCCAAAAAAATATAGAATGTGGAAAATGATTTTGGGTAAACAAAATAACAATATCACCCTTCACAGAATTTAGACTTTTTATAGAGCCAAAAGTTGAAATGTAATTTAAAAAATGACCTCATTCTCTCAATATTTCTTGTGTCATCATTTCTTCCTAAGCAATAATAAATAAGCTAAAAAATACTTGGAATGAAGACATTTTTTATCAGAAAAGTAACATTTCCATCAATTTTACTCAACAATAATTTTTCATTTGCAAGTAACACGAAGAGTATGATCTTATTTTTAATTAAAAATCATTCCCTTCTCTCTTTTCCAACTGGAACCACGGAGGGTGCCAAAGAGAAGGAAAAGGAGGTTCGTGCTGTGTCAGAAACCTTTAGGAAAAAGCGAAGGAATTAAAGAAGTTTGCCCAAAATCTGATTCAAAAGGCAAGGAGGAAGCTTATGTATGAAAAAAGCCAAGCATTACCAGAAGGAACATAGGCAGATGTATAGAGTGGAGATTTGAATGGTTAGGGTAACAAGAACATCTGGCAACTTCTATGTACCTGCAGAACCCAAATCGGCATTGGTCATCAGAATCAACGATATCAATGGTGTGAGCCCAAAGGTTCATTAGGTGTTACAACTCCTTTACCTTCGACAGATCTTCAATGGCACCTTTGTTAAGCTCAACAAGACTTCAATTAACATGCTCAGGATTGTGGAATCATATGCTGCATGGGGGTACCCAAACCTGAAGTTGGTGACTGCACTAATCTATAAGCGTGGATATGGCAAAATCAATAAGAAACAAATTGCCTTGACAGAGAATGCTTTGATTGCTTGATCTCTTGGTAAATATAGCATCATCTGAGGGGAGGATCTGATTCATGAGATCTACATTGTTAGAAGATGCTTCAAAGAAGCAAATAACTTCTGTGTCCCTTCAAATTATCTTCTCTAGGACATGGAATGAAGGAAAAGACCACCCATTTTGTAGAAGGTGGAAATGCTGGCCATAGGGGAAGACCAGATTCACAGGCTTATTAGAAGGATGATATAAGGTATTTTTGTAATCTGGTCAGTTAATAAAACAATACCTGCTCTCAAAAATAAATAAATAAATAAAAAGCATTTCCTGACTATCTACCCGAAGTAATTTCTAATTTCCTTAGTTGTTAGCAATGGTTGTTTATGAGGGTGATGTAAGATTAAGATAGATTCTCAAGAAAATTACACAGGTAGTCTTTTTCAATACCCTAAAGCCACTTTTACTTATGTTGAAAATTGAGCCTTCTTTATACATTTATATTTGATTTATACTTTGTCAATGATCTCTATCTGGATATTGTTTATATTTTTAATAATGAATGTGTATCATTTTGCAAAACAAAATGATCATCTTTAAATGTCAGTTTGTATGGTATCAAAAGGATGGAAAACAAGGTACTAAAAGTCTTGTAATCCACAATCCTGCTTTTCTCTGGGATTCAGGATGTGTGTTCAGCACAACTGAGGCAGGGCAGTGAGCAGCTAATGATCTTGAGAACTTTTAAATTGTTGTTGACTTTATGTATTTTTTTTGTCTTTTCTCATCCTATAAGTATTTATCCAAAGGCAGATTATCTTTCAATTTATTGCTTCCTACTTATTCCTACCATAATTTTCTGAACAAATATTCAATAATTGTTTGAATACATTTATATGTAAAACATTAGAAAATAAACATCTGGCAAAAATTTGTGGAAGAATCATATGCAAGTTGTGTGTGAATCATCAGTACAATTCTGTCACTGTGTAGTCTCTCAGTTTAGAGGATAAATAGTCACTTGTTGAACAAACACAAATATCATGTCATAATTCAGTATTTTTATGTTTGAGTAAGAGTGGAGGAAAGTTTTCTTTATATTAAATATAACCAGGATAAACAGCTCCTCTATGGTTATAAAATTATCAGAGCAAAATTAAACTAGCAATAATAAAAATACTGAGCACACTTAAACTAGGTGTATATGTGTTTTTTACATTCTACTTCACTTAAGCCTCAAAATTACCTACTAAGTAGATACTAATATATTTCCCATTTTACAGATGGGAAAACTGACATCCTTCTGCGATCAGAATTCCAGAGCAGTCTGGCTGCTCCACTGTCTATAATTCTAACAGCCAAGGACAAGGTAACATTATTTAAAAGATTAAGATAGATTCTTTGTAGCGATATGGGTTAGACACTCTTAAGCTGGTGATGGGGTGATCTTAAGGTATGTAAATTGTGTGAAGGTTACTGGGAGTCTGGTTTCCTGTCCAGGAAAAAGAGGAAGGAAAAGGAACATATGCCGCACCTGAAGGGTATAGTTATCTAAGAACTCACAGAATTTACTTCTTGACTCTAACACTCAAATCAATAAAACATAAGCTTTGAGGACATATTAAAGTACAGAATGAGCACTCCTATTACTGGGTTAGGTATTGCAACAGGCTGATAAATATAAGAAATCCATTCTAGAGACCATCACAAACTGCCTCCAAAGCTTCTCAAGAAAATTACAAGTCTTTTTCAATACCCTAAAGCCACTTTTACTGATGTTGAAAATTGAGCCTTCTTGATACATTTGTATTTGATTTATACTTTGTCAATAATCTCTATCTGGAAATTTTCAAAAGCCTCAAGATTGTCATTGAATGTCATTCCTTTCTTCTCTATAACTGAAATCATTTCAGTATATTCGTCTTCAATTTTCTGAATTACTATTTACTAATAATTCACATGTTGCTAAGCAGTTAATGTGTACTATCTCATTCATCCTCACAAATATGTATGGAGTTAGTCTTGGTATCCTTGATGTATTAGTGGTTACAACAACCATCAGAGAAGTTAAGTAACTGTCACAGCCACAGAAGTAATCATTGATCTTCATGCCCCCTTCCATTCTTTTCATATGAAACCAAGTCCAGTCAAGATACAAAAGTTTAATACATAAACACCCCTCCCACCATTTTTTGTTTCAGTCCTGGGGATTGATCCCAGGATCTCTATCAGTGGCCTACATACCAACACTTTTTAAATTTTGAGACAGAGTCTTGCTAAATTGTCCAAGTTGGTCTCAAACTTGAAATCCTCCTGCATCAGCCTCCCCCAAAATCTGGGATTACAGGTATGCACCACCATGCCTGGCCTAGGGGCCCTTTCATAGACGTTGTTTTCTTTTACCTTGGCCTAGGAAATAGAAACTTGTACTTGAGTAATATCTAGCCTGTAGACCCACAAGTAGTTATGTATGAATTTTCAAAAATAGCCTGTAGACTTGTAGTGCACTTTGTTTTATGCACTGAAGTAAATGAAGTCTAAATCACCATTCTTCTCTTTTACTATCATTAAGACTCACCAACTTTTATAAATGGTGAAAGAAAACAATAAATAATGAACTGAAACATAGAAATGCAAGATCTTCATTCCTGGAAAGCTACAGTATGATATTACAGTATGATAAAAGTACATTGTTCTTGAAGATTCAATTACGCTCAGCAAATAAATTATTAAAATGTAGATCTTTGGTCCAGCAACATAAAGTAAATGATGGCATTATAGGATGGTTTTACAGGAACAGAATAGAGCAGTATTAATTTTTACATATTTACCATAAAGTGTTCTTTGAGATTCAATAGTATCTTATTTATTTATCTAACAAAATATTACAATGAATTTTTCTACTTGAAGGGAACTTGTATTAATAATCTATGTTAATAATTGCTTTTACATAGAAAATAGATTATACCACATATCATTGTCAAAAGAATGAGGCTAAGCATAAACTAAAATCCTTCCTATTTTACATGCATAGCTTCAAATGGCAGATTTTCTTCTTCTTGAAAAAGATCCAATCTCATATCCACATTTTGATTGCATATAATGGGAAAAGATTGCATGAAGCATCTTTTCAATATTACATTTTTTCTACTGGTGACCAACATAGAGAAGAAGAAAAAGTAAAAAATTATAAAAAAATAAGTTATAGTCATAATGGAGTCTATAGTGACTACATGAACATTAATCTTGATAAAATCGCACACATATATCATTACTTAAATCACACAGTAAATATAGTTAAATTGGTTTTAGATCCCAAATTTGTAATATCATTTCTAGTACAACAGGAGAACAAAAATGGAGATTTTCTAAAAATGTTAAGACAGAGAAACACACTTTAACTCACATTTCTTCTCCAGGAAAGCTGATTAATTTCATTTATTCATAGTGACAAAAAGTGTCAAGCCCTTCTTGTATGCTCTGTATGTATCTGTGTAGTGGGTGCTGCTGATGTGTATCCCACGTCTTCATGGACCGCCAGCTACAACAACTTACCAAGCAGTTATCAAGGTCAGTTACCAAGCACGCTATTCACATCTGCCCTCTGCTTAGCTGCCTTAGACTTTCTCTGATGCAGAGAGCTTCTTCAGCCTGTGCACCTGCCCAGCTGCTCAGAAATGCTGGGAACTGAATGCACTGAGGGGTGACAGGTGACTCCAACTAATGAGGAATAGAAGCAAATGGGTAAATGACTGACCTTCTCCATTCTGTCATGGAACAGGTTTGTTCTACAGGTAACAGTGGTCCCAATGATATGGCATTATAATTGCTCATTGCATTATTCTGCTTATGAATAAACTCATCACTGGCTTTTGTGTGTGAGGAATTGTCTCACAGTCCTCATTAGTGTATCATAGGCTTCCCTCTAAATAAATTACCTAAACTCAAGTCCATTTCTCAGACTCTTTTCATTAGAGTTCTCTGCACACGTCATTTAGTTCTTCCTTTCAAATATAGATAGCTGTAAAACATCATTTTGAGATTATGCTTTTCAGCCATGGTGAGGAA